TCTCTCTGTCCCAAAAATAAATAAACGTTAAAAAAAATTTAAAACAGAGATAAAAAAGCAATCTAAATGCGCAATAATAGGGGATTAGTTAAATCAGTTTTGTCTATATTCATACAATGGATATACTCATTAACATTTTAAAAAAAACAATGACTGGGGCACCTGGGTGGGTGACTTCGGCTCAGGTCAGGATCTCACATGTCATGATCGAGCCCCACACTGGCTCACTGCTGTCATCACAGAACCTGCTTTGGATCCTCTCTGTCTCCCTCTCTTGCCCCTTCCCTGCTCTCTCTCTCTCAAAAATAAATAAACATTTAAAAAAACCAATGACAGCATAGCACAGACCATTTTTAGGATACTGAAACTATTCTGTATGCTATTATGATGGAGACATATTTACATCATCAAAACCCATAGAATGTACAACCCCAAAAGCAAACTCCTATGTGAACTATGGGCTTCGAATAATAATGATTCGTCATCAATTGTAACTAACGGTACAATTCTGGTAAGGAATGTTGATAGTCAAGGGAGGCTGTGCCCTGGGGTGAGTATGGGGTGGGCAGGGAGTATATGGGAACTCTCTGTACTTTCAGCCTGCTCCTGCTGTAAATCTAAAACTGCTCTAAAAATAGACTTTAGTCGGGGCACCTGGCTGGCTCAGTTGGTGAGTGTCTGGCTCTTGGTTTCAGCTGGGGCTCAGGTCATGATCTTGCTGTTCATGAGATCAAATCCCACGTCTGGCTCTGCACTGATGGTATGGAGCCTGCTTGGGAGTCTCTCTGTCTCTCTCTGCCCCTCCTTTGTTTGTGCTCTCTCTCAAAATAAATAAACATTTTTTAAAAAGAATCTTTAAAAACATAGACTTTAATCTATTAAAAGAATTAATGACACACAAAAATGCTCCTGTATGTTACATTTTTATTTTTTTTTTAAATCTGTACACCCAGTGTGGGGCTTAAACTTACAACCCTACGATCAAGAGGCCCATGATCTACCAACTGAACCAGGCAGGCTCCCCCTCCACCATGTTACATTTTTTTAAAAGGA